CCAACTGTGTGTGTGTGTGTGTGTGTGTGTGTGTGTGTGTGTATGTGTAGGTGTATGTTAGACTAGTTTAAGTGTTTATGTAGTTAATAAAGTCTTACTTGAATCACACCTGAGGTTGTTCATTGTTTGCTCATAATCGTAGTCCCTAATCATGCAGATTTCTGCTACATGCTAGTACATGAGTAGTATTGTACAGTAAGAAAGTTATTTCCCTTAACCAGGAAATTAACGTTCTTAGAATTGACAGACAGTTTTGACTCAGAAGATGTCTGACCTACCTCCAGAACGGCTCAGTATGGACGCTCCATTCTCCTACGTAAGGTTGGAAGTTTTCGAGCCTTGGATGGTCACCTCACGTCGAACCAGAGGAGGAAAAGCAAACTCCAAACGCTGGGCAGTGCTGTTCACATGTATGAGTACTAGGGCCATACATATTGAAGTCATAGAATCGATGGATAGCTCCAGCTTTATAAATGCTCTCCGCAGATTCTTCGCTGTTCGAGGTCCAGCAAAGCAGTTGTGGTCAGACTGTGGCACCAACTTTGTTGGAGCATGCAAGGAATTGAAGATGGAGACAGTCTCAGAAGACAGAAAGGTACAAGAGTATTTGAGCGACAATGGATGCTCTTGGGTGTTCAACCCTCCTCACTCATCTCACATGGGTGGAAGTTGGGAACGAATGATCGGAGTTTCAAGGCGGATTCTTGAATCTATGCTACAAGGCCTTGGACCTTCAAAGTTGTCCCATGAGGTTTTGACCACCTTCATGGCTGAAGTCACGGCCATAATCAATGCTCGTCCCCTGGTACCTGTGTCTACAGATCCAGACGCTCCTTTCATTCTGACTCCAGCAACTCTACTCACTCAGAAGACTTCTGTAGTTCCTCCTCCACCAGGAGAATTTGGTGAAAGGGGTCTCTTCATTCGTCAGTGGAGGCAAGTCCAAAGCTTGGCCAATGCATTGTGGAGTCGCTGGAGAAAGGAATATCTCGCAACCTTGCAAAACCGTAGAAAATGGCAGAATGAGAGCTCCAATCTCCAAGTGGGAGATGTTGTGCTACTGAAAAACATTCCAGCCAAAAGGAACGACTGGCCCATGGGAATCGTGTTGGAGACATTTTCCGGGAGAGATGGGAAGTAAGGAAAGTTGAGGTCAAGGTGGTCAAAGACGGATCATCTAAGGTGTTCCTGCGACCTATATCGGATATCGTTTTACTGCTATCTCCTGGGACTGAATAGACAAATGCTATTATGTTTATTCTATATGTTTTGACAGTATCCTCTGACCTTAATAGCAGCCATCTTGTTTTACTCAGTTGATGCTGATAGTCACATGGTTAAAGCAGCTATTTTCAATCTTTTCATCATCTTTGCAATCATTTAAAGAAGCTTTGTCTGTAAACATTAAAGTGTTTACAAGAACTTTATCATCATCTTATATTTGGTATTGGTGATGTTATTCAGGATAAATTTTATGTTTAGAGAGGTTATTTTCAGTACAGTGTTACATGCATCTGCGATATTATTGTATATAGTATATGCAGTTATCTCTTAAGTGAACTGAACTGTTACTTATCTTTAATGCACATTCTTTAGAAACTTACTTTTACATTTTTTTTGTATTTCAGTTTTACTCTGTTCCACTTATATTTGGTGGTCATAATAAATCCATGCTTCAATTCAACGTCACTGTGGAAGGAGTTATCTATCTGCCTAGTTCAAGAAGGGGAGCTCTTTCACGAGGGCAGAATACATTGAGACAATGTCAAAGGATAAGACATCTCTTCTCGCATGGCCAGGGGAGTTAGCTCAAATGGTAGAGAGCTCGCTTAGCATGCAAGAGGTAGCGGGATTGATGCCTGCATTCTCCAAGCAGAGACCTATCCTTTTACATTAACTTCCTTAACTAAACAGTCTGCGCTTTGATGCTATGTAGTCATGCTCCCTACCTGAGCTTTTGGGGCTCACTGCTGACGAAAAGTTTTTAAAAGCGGGTACTGTGTACATTCGTGGCAAAAGCAGGTCCCACCAAGATTTGAACTCAGATCGCTGGATTCAGAGTCCAGAGTGCTAACCATTACACCATTGATCCTTGCCAACAGTGACAATTGCTCACATTGCCTGCAATCTGAAGGCTCAAGTTGATCTTTGCTGAAGTTGGTTGATGAAAAAGAACCAGTTTGAGTCAAAGGATCTTGGTGAATGGAAAGTCAAGGCCGAAGCCTGGCGCAAATTTAGGGTGTCCTTAGGAGCATTCTAGCTCACATCCTCATCTTCTCAGAATCTAACAGAACCACAGACTGAACTGGCTATGTGTTGGAGCCCACCGGGCATGCCCGCACTGGCTCAGGCTCCAACACGCTTCTTAGCAGAAGAAGAACATCAAGTACATGGGCAAAACTGTGCGTGAGCCTTTTTAAGGTCTGAGAAGATTCGCGCCTCTCAGGATGGGCTTGTCCAATGAGACCTCACATTGCCACAAAGACTAAATCACTTATAGGGTCACCAGCAGCACCTACAGACTTGTGCTTTTTTTGCTTTTCCTGCCGCAAGAAAGTACGCAGGTTCCACCGAGATTTGAACTCGTAGCGCTGGATTCAAAATCCAGAGTCCTAACCATTAAACCATGGAACCACCACTCTCTCAATGGCGGCCATTTGGAAGGCAGATAGTGTTTTAGACAGGTCTAACCAGCAGGAATTTCCATGAGACCATACGTCACTTTGCGAGGGGAAATATGAATAATTAATCATAACTAGTTATAATTAATAATTTGCATATGGAACTCGAATCAAAATTACTAAAGATTCTTAGAACACTAATATATTGCCTATGTACCCACATATAACATAAATGCTCATTTAGATCATCAGAAGACTAATTCAAAGAGACCAAACATGGTATCGGTGGGGTTGGATTAACTAGTGATCTATCATAACACACACACAAAACAGTATACAATTCAAAAGACAAATATTCAAGAACAGTAATGGTATACACAATGTCCTGAGGAGATGTGTGTTCATTCACAGAAAGATTTTTTTATGAATTAATTAGAGAAGAGTCCATTTTTATGGGCATTGTTTGTCTTTCCTAAGGGTAAATGAATTGTGAGTTTCTCTGCCCGCATTCTTTTGGGCAATAAAACCAGTGATATCAGCATTGGTTGCCATGGAACCAGAGGCCTGTTCTGCCTTTCTGAGGTGTTAGATGCATTTCGGGGGAAGGGTCCATAGACCCTCATATGGCTTGTTAACTGAGGGGTGTTACAGAGGATTTGTTAAATACAGCTAACAAAATATATATTGTGTGTTTTATTGGGCCAGCC